TGTGTGTCCTGGGAGGGGCAGGGATGATACCCACATGGGCTCATTCACCTGTGTGTCACATACACAGCACACAGCCACAGTCTCTCTCGTTTACCTAGCTACCTATCAAAATCCCCTGGAATGAGACAGGAGAAGTGGGTACAGTGCCTGTCTCTCCATCTGGAGAGACGGGGAGTAGAAGCTGAGATGTGCAGAGGTGAATCTTCTCACTATATTTCTTTTTCTAAATGTTTTGCTATATATATATCATTTTTTCCAAAAGGATTCTTAAACATCAGTCTTCCCTGTAAAGTGATTAACAGGTTAAGAAGTACTTTATAGCAATCAGCTTATTACCCACTAATCAATACTTCAGCATCATTAGCGCAATGAAGGGTAATTTTATTATTACAGTCCCTTTAATCATTAGCAACGTTATACCTCTAGCGATGCGGTTTGTGAGTGACTGCTCTGTGATCAAGTGTAAGTGAATTCCTAGTGTACTGGCACTACCGGGGTTGTTGCTTACAATTCATGGAGTGATACCAGAATGAACTGTGCAGTACTTCCCAGAATGCACTTTCCCTGGTGTATGTCAAAACTGGTGACTATTCAGAAAATAACATACATACAGTTTATCCAACAGCAAAGGCAGAAGGTGTCTTTGAAAATTCTGAATCTGTCCTTTCACTGAAGATATTTTAAAGGTATCTCTGGAGTAAAGTTAAACTGCAAACACAGCCCAGCTTTTCCAGTTCTTATCTAATGCACATAGTTAGAGTAATCCAAATGGCATTTTCTAATAATATGACTTAATCAGCAACATCTTGATATGACTTCTCTCTGTGTCCACAGAAATTTTAAAATATCCTACACTAACCAATACTCTTCTCCCATTTCTAATTATTTAACAAGTAAAACTAGAAGCAAATTGTTTTACCTTCAGAGTTTCAAGTGTACCATCTTCTTTGGCTAAGACGCTGCCAGTGATCCCTAAAATGCTAACGACGTTCACGCGAACTCCGACATTACTACTGTGAACGCCTGCTTTGCACAGTGTCATCAGCTGATCAGGAGTCAGGCACTGCGGAAGGAGAAGAGGGAAGCACTGCTTACACCCAGCCAATCCCAACGGCATGAAAGCATTCCCGCTTGGAACTGGAACTAGACCAGGAAGCCCACTCTCACCAATGCTATCCACAAGGGCATCCAGATGGGGAAAGAGGAAGCTTTTGCTCTATGCTGACAGTATCATTTTATACCTAGAAAACCCCAAGGACTCAACCAAGGCACTCCTGGAATTGATAAATAATTATAGCAACATCTCGAGTTACAAAATCAATGTACATAAACCCGTAGTTTTCAGACGCCCTAGCAACAGTCATGCTGAGAATCAAATCAAAGACACAATACCCTTCACAGCAGCATCAAAGAAAATGAAATACCTTAGAATATACTCAACAAAGAAGAACAAGGATCTTTATAGGGAGATCTTTGAAACACTGAGAAAAGAAATTGCAGAGGACATAAACAGATGGAAAAATACATCATACTCATAAATTGGTAGAATCAATAGTTAAAATGTCTACAGCACTCAAAGTGATCTCCAAATTCAGTGAGATTCCCATTAAAATGCCAGCATCACAGAAGGTTGGACAATTCAGTTCATGAAGTCATACTAGACAAAGTGTTTTGATGGCACCCACAGCTCAGTCAGTGGGTAGGCCGCTGGCCACATACACCGAGGCTGGCAGGTTTGAACCCAGCCTGGGCCAGCTGAACAACAATGACAACAAAAAAATAGCTAGGCGCTGTGGCAGGTGCCTGTAGTCCTAGCTACCTGGGAGGCTAAGGCAAGAGAATTGCTTAAGGCCATCAGTTTGAGGTTGCTGTGAGTTGTGACGCCGCAGCACTCCACCCGGGCGACAGCTTGACACTCTGTCTCCAAAAAAAAGAGAAAGTGTTTTTTTATAGCTCACTGTTGAATATCACTATGGGCACCAGGTGGTCAGGGGAGCACCTTGAAGGTGACCGTAGTGACACTCAGGAACGAGGAACGCAGCACTTTTTCTAGGATGACTTCACGAACTTAACTGTCCAAACTCTTTTTTGCAGATCTCAAAGAAATAGTTCTACACTTCATATGGAATCAGAAAAGATCCAAAATAGCCAGTGCAATCTGATGAAATAGGAACAAATCTGGAGGCATCACTTTAGCAGACTTCAGGCTATGCTACAAGGCTACAGTCATCAAAATAGCATAGTATCGACATAAAAATAGAGACAACAAGCTTTGGATTGGAACAGAGAATACAGATAGGAAACCATCCTCACTTTGCCATCTGATCTTTGACAAAGCCCAAAGAAAAATACATACAATGGGGAAAAGAACTCCTATTCGATAAATGGTGCTGGGAGAACCAGACAGCCACCTGTAAAAAACTGAAACAGGACCCACACCTCTCTCCATTCACAAAAATTAAGTCGTGATGGATAAAAGACTTAAGCCTAATTCATCATAAATTATTAACAACTGTAAAAATGCTGGCTCACACTTGTAATCCCGGCAGCTTGGGAAGCTGAGACAGGAGGATCACATGAGGCCAGGAGTTTGAGACAAGCCTTTTCCTCCTGCTTCTATGGAAGACAAGGCCTGGACGGAGGTCAAAGACCCGCATGGCCAGGTTACTACAGCATCTGCTTTTGAGAAAAGGGGTGAAGAACAAATACAAATACATGTATTTTTCTTTCTTTTTTGTTTTCTTTGAGAAAGGATCTCTCTGTGACCCCAGCTGGCCTCAAACTCTTGAGCTCAAGCAATCTTCCTGTCTCAGCCTCCTGAGCAGCTGGGATGACAAGCATAAGCCACAATGCCTAATTATGTGCTTTTTTTAAAAAAATAAGCAAAACCAATTTGCCTATGTTTTAAAAAAAATAGAATGATAGGCTCAGGGCCTGTGGCTCAGGTGGCTAAGGCGCCAGCCATGTACACTCAAGGTGGCAGGTTCGAATCCAGCCCAGCCTCCCAAACAACAATGCTGGTTGCTACCAAAAAACAGCCAGGCGTTGTGGCGGACGCCTGTGGTCCCAGCTATTTGGGAGGCTGAGGCAGGAGACTCGCTTGAGCCCAGGAGTTGGAGGTTGCTGTGAGCATGATGCCACAGCACTCTACCCAGGGGGACAGCTTGAGGCTCCTGTCTCAAAAAAAAAAAAAAAAAAAAAAAATAGAATGATAAATCAAAAATCAAAAAGGATGACTACCAATATAGTGGAAATCAGAGAACAGGCACAAATGGGCAAAATCTAGATCTCTCTGAATATACCTTTTTCTTTTTCTGGCGGTAATATAAACATACAATTTACCACTTTAGTTACTGCTATTAAGCGTATAGTCCGGTGGCGTGAAGTACCTTCACACTGCTGGGTGATGTAAACCGTCACCGCTGTCCAATCTGGAACATTTTCACTGTCCTGCAGTGAAACTCTGTAGCCTTGAAACAAGGACTCCCTACTCCGGTCTATGGGGCTGGCACCCTACTCCTTCAGCCACAGGCATCGCGCCCTGTCTCTAGGAATTTAACTGCTTAAGATACTTCACGAAAGTGCAATCAGACAATTGTTCCCTTTGTGTCTGGTTTATTTCCCTTGTCTTCAAGCCTTGTCGTTGCAGCATGTGTCAAAATCTTTCCTTTTTAAGGCTGAATAATATTCCATCACATGGTATACCATGTTTTTCTCTGAGTAAAACCGGCAGGACAGGCCTGAGCTCTGGAGTTCAAGACCAGCCTGCGCAAGGGTGAGACCCTAGTCTCTACTAAAAACAGAAAAACTAGCCAGGTATGGTGGAGGGTGCCCGTAGTCACAGCTACGGGGGAGGCTGAGTCAAGTTTGAGGGTGCTGTAAGCTATGATCCACAGCATTCCACCAAGGGTGACAAAGTGAGACTCTGGGGGAAAAAAACAACATGGCATCTGACTCATCTTTGAGGGATATATCCTCAGAAAACAAAACAAAACAAAAAATCCATAAAAAAATTAAACTCCATTAACTAGTGCTTTATTAACACTACGACCTTTTTATTTAAGTGGAACATACCAGTACAACATTAAGATGTTTTATTCTCTTAAGGCAATGGCAGCAACAAGCACTCCAAAATTTAATTTCCTGCTAAAGAAACCAAGGCTTCTTGGAGAAATAACTTCATGTTTTAAGAAGAAAAATTACAAGTTGAGCCTGGGATATCTTTTGCCCAGAAGCAAAAGTGATTGAAAACCTAGAATTCTTACCAAAAAGACAAGGAGCCAACCTGAAGGGACTGGTGCTCTCTAAAGACAGTACAATTTCTGCATCAAAAAGCTTGAGTATAATGGAAGGAAATACAAATATAGTTTAAAACTCTAAGTTCAAAATAACAAACTTCACTGGGTTACTTTCAGAGATTGCTAGGGCATCAGTTCACCATTTTGGAAAGAAGGGTCAGAGAGGTCTTGGCGCCTATAGCACAGTGGTTATGGCACCAGACACATACACTAAAGCTGGTGGGTTCGAATCCGGGTCAGGGCAGCTAAACAATGAAAACTGCAACAAAAAATCACTGAAATAGCTGGGCGTTGTGGTGGGCACCTGCAGTCCCAGCTACTCGGGAGGCTGAGGCAAGAGAATTGCTTAACCCAAGAGTTTGAGGTTGCTGTGAGCTATGATGCCATAGCGCTCTACCCAGGGCGATACAGTGAGACTCTGCCTCAAAAAAAAAATAAATAAAATAAAAATAAAATAAACAAGTTGAATGGTGTATGAATCAAATCTCAATAAAGCTATTTTAAAAAAAAGTTTAAGAGACCAACATATCAACCAAAAGCAAGTTTTGGACTGTGCTTAGATCCTGATTTGAATAAGCCAACTGTAAAAAAATACTTTAAGGCAAATGAAAATGCGAATGTGGGGAATGAATGAAGGAGAATGACAGGACACGGAACCATGGGTGATGGTGTGTGTGGGTCACAGGACTGTCTCTGCTTTGGGGAATGCTTGCATATTTCCTCACAGGAAGTACCAAATCAAAGTGGTGAGGCATCTGTCAGGAGAGGGGTGGGGGGCCACTGTGGAAGGTCAGGAGGGCATGCTTGGAAGTTTTTGTAATGAAGTGTTTAAAAAAGACCAAGGACATTCAGTGAAAATACAACATATATGTAAAATAAGAAATTGTATTGACAAAAGTTATCTGTGTGTGTTGCTGATGATGAAGAGAAAATTTTACTATTTATTTTATTTAATTATGTTGAGACAGAGTCTCAAGCTGTCACCCTGGGTAGATTGCTGCATCACAGCTCACAGCAACCTCCAACTCTTGGGCTTTAGTAATCCTCTTGTCTCAGCCTCCCAAGTAGCTGGGACTACAGGCGCCTGCCACAATGCCCGCTATTTTTCTTTTTCTTTGAGCCAGAGCTTCAAGCTGTTGCCCTGGGTAGAGTACCATGGCATAACAGCTCACAGCAACCTCTAACTCCTGGGCTTAAGCAATTCTCTTGCCTCAGCCTTCTAAGTAGCTGGGACTACAGGCACCCGCCACAATGCCCAGCTATTTTTTGGTTGCAGTTGTCATTGCTGTTTGGCAGGCCCAGGCTGGATTTGAACCCGCCAGCTCCAGTATATGTGGTTGGCGTCCTAGCTGCTGAGCTACAGGCGCTGAGCCAATTTTACTTTATCACTTTTGTTTTATTTTATTTACTTACTTGAGACAGAGTCTCACTGTGTCACCCTTGGTAGAGTGCTGTGGTGTCACAGCTCACAGCAACCTCAAACTCTTGGGCAGGGGTCCTCAAACTTTTTAAACAGGGGGCCAGTTCACTGTCCCTCAGATGGAGGGCCGGACTGCCAGCCCTGGGATGAGATGGCTGCTAAGTAGGACAGGCAGTGGCTGCAATACACCTGGCAGGCTGCATGTGGCCCGCAGGCTGTAGTTTGAAGATGCCTGCTCTTGGGCACTTGGCTATTTTTTTTTGTTGCAGTTGTCATTGCTGTTTAGCTGGCCCGGGCTGGGTTCGAACCCGCCAGCTCGTGTATGTGACTGGCGCTCTCCCTGCTGAGCTACAGGTGCAGAGCCTTGTTTTATTTTTTTTAAGTGACAGTGTCTCCCGCTATCATCCAGTCTGGACTGCAGTGACCTATAGCTCATGGTATCCTTGAACTCCTGGGCTCCAGTGATCCTGCTGTCTTTGCTTCCTGAGTAGCTGAGACTAGGTATATGACACCACACTTGACTAATTTTTTTATTTTTTGTGGAAATAGTTTTGCTTTGTCTAGGCTGGTCTTCACCTCCTGGCTGCAAGTAATCCTCCCGCCTCAGCCTCCCAAAGAGCTGGTATCACAGTCATGAGCTACCAAACCTGGTTTACGTTTTTCTTTATACAAAGATCACATATTCCCCTTGTAATAGAAATATGTATTTAAAAAGTAGTTCAGTAATGAATTTTGCCTCTATAATACAGAAACTTTATAAATTTCACATAACAACTTAAAAAATACCTTACCTGAGAAATGTTCTTGGAAGCCATTGTTTGCAGAAGAGCCCGCAAGGCACTACTTATGGCTTCTAGAAAGTCAGCATGCTTAGCAAAATCTAAAACACAAAAATGAAATATAAAATTTGTTTTTCTCCAAAATAGGCTATTTAGTAGAAAAAGAAAATAGAATCAAAATAAATGTTAATATGTTATTATTAATAAAAATACTTGATATTTAAGTCAAAACGCTTTCTTAGCAGCCCCCTGTACCTTAGGTACCTAAGTCTGGAAGATAACCCAGGTTGCCCTGGGAACCCAGCTATTACGTATGAGGAAGGCCAGATCACAGGAACAGGTCATTCACTCTGCCTGACAACAAGGGGGGTATATTCCACAGACAGTCCTTGATTTCCAGATGCTGGGTTTTAAACCTTAGCTAGCTTTCTCGACGGGATTCTGTCTTTCTCAGATCTCCATCGTGGTGCTGGGCAGTCCTGTGGCGGTCATCACTGGTGCCTCCTTGCCAACTGGAGCCCACTGCCTCACCAAGGGCTGCTGCTGGTGCGGGGCTAAAGGACACGCCTCCATGGCTGCCACTGACCACCTTCCCCTCCTATCCCTGCTCCTCCTGTCCTTCTTCCCACATAGGACAAACAGAACAGTGGCGACAAGCAACATCATTCACAAGGGGGGTGAGGGTGTCACCCAGGTGAGCTGGACCCTGAACGTCCACAGGAAGGGAAGTGATTTACGTGGTGTCTGGTGGATTGTATTTCCTAAAACTGACTATAGTCCTGCACCACCTTCTAGAACCCTACTACTTCCCATAAAGTTGCAAACACTATTTCTCAACTCCTTGTGTCTGGACAGGACTCTCAATTCTTTTTTTTTTTTTTTGTGACAGAGCCTCAAGCTGTCCCCCTGGGTAGAGTGCCATGGCATCACGCTCACAGCAACCTCCAACTCCTGGGCTCAAGCGAGTCTCCTGTCTCTGCCTCCCAAGTAGCTGGGACCACAGGCGCCCGCCACAACGCCCGGCTATTTTTTTGGTTGCAGCCATCATTGTTGTTTGGCGGGTCCGGGCTGGGGATTCGAACCCGCCACCTTAGGTGTACGTGGCTGGCGCCTTAGCCGGTTGAGCTATAGGCGCCGAGCCAGGACTCTCAATTCTTTAACCAACAGAAAAAGAAGCGACAGCCTAGATCTGGGGTCTTCAAACTTTTTAAACAGGAGTCCAGTTCACTGTCCCCCAGACCACTGGAGGGCCGGACTGCGGGCCCCGGGATGAGTCGGCTGCTAAGCAGGACAGGCAGCAGTGGCAAAAACACCCAGCAGGTTGGATAAATGTCCTAGGCGGGCTGCATGTGGCCCATGGGCTGTAGTTTGAGGACACCTGGCCTAGATCATAAGAAGCGATGACTCCACCCAACTCCCTCGTGCCCGCTCTCTTCTCTCTCCTGACTTATGCCCTTGGAGCCCAGCCACCAAGTTACAAGGAAGCCGGAAGAGGTCACTCGTGCATGTTCCACGTGACAACCCTGCACCAACTGCCAGGTATGGGGTGAACACGAGCGCAGACGATTCTGGTTCACAGCCTTCATGTTTCCCAGCACACGGCCCGACTAGCATTTCTCAACCTCAGCATTATTGAAATTTTGGACCAGATAATGATTATAACAACCAAAAATATCTCCAGACATTGACAAATGTCCCTGGGGGAGGCAGGGGCAAAACTGACAATGTTGAGACTATTGTAGAGATGAGCCATCTCCACCACGCCTGGCCTAAATTTTTGGCCTAAAAAAACTGTGAGAAGTAATAAATGATTAGTGTTGTTTTAGCTACAAACTCTGAGATGGTCGGTTAAGGCTCCCTGTCCTACGTGCCTGGGCACACAGCAGTCCCAGTCTCTATTTAGTTTGTCTGGGCGAGGGAAGAGCAGTTTCTGCTCAACTTTTAATCAAGGCTTATTTTATTTTTTGACTCTCCCATTTCTACTACATACTATGTACCAGAGTAGAGTTCCTGTAATTAGAACAGAACAGGTAACAGGACAGTTTTAGGAAAGGCCTGGGAGGGAATCCTGCGATGACATCATGTGACCCCACCTTACTTCACTGTAGTCTCTGCTCCAATGTCTCCCTTCCTTAGAGGCTTTTCCACATCAACTAGCCTAACATAGCACCTTACACCATTCTGCTTTTAGTTTTCTTCATTGTCAGAGTCATTTATTATTCCAGCCAGGAACACTGGCACATGCCTGTAATCCCAGCCACTCATGAGGCTGAGGCAGGAGAACTGCTTAAGCCCAAGAATTTGAGACCAGTCTGCGCAAAACAGCAAAACTTCAGGCTGGGTGTTGTGGTTCACACTTGTAATCCTAGCACTGCTGGAGGCCGAGGTGGGTGGATCACTTGAGCTCAGAAGTTTGAGACCAGTCTGAGCAAGAGTGAGACCCTGTCTTTACTAAATCAGAAAAACTGAGGCAAGAGGACTGGTTGAGCCCAAGAGTTTGAGGGTGCTGTGAGCGATGATGCTACAGCACTCTACCAAGGGTGCCAAAGTGAGACTGTCTCAAAAACAAAAAAAAGCAAACCTCATCTCAAAAAAACCTAACAGGCCAAGCACAGTGGCCCATGTCTATAATCCTAGTACTCTGGGAAGCCAAGGCAGATAGATTGCTTGAGCTTAGGAGTTTGAGACCAGTCTGAGAAAAAGTGAGACCCCATTTCTGCTAAAAAAAACTAGCCAGGTGCCTGTAACCCCAGATACTCAGGAGTTGCTATACGGGAAGATCACTTGAGCCCATGAGTTAGGGGTTGCTGTGAGCTACGATAATGCCATGATGGCACTCTATCCAGGGTGACAGAGTAAGACTCTGTCTCAAAAAAACAACAAAACAAACACAAAATGTCTATACTAGAACGCAAGGTTCATGAACACAGTGACCTTGACTATCCTGTTCACGCTTGTCAGCATAGGACCTAGAGCAGAGTCTGACATCGAGTAAGTATTCACTAAATACGTGCGAGAAGAGTGAAGGACTTTGAAGATGTTCCTTAACACAGACCTCAGCTTCCTCAGCAGGAAGATGAAGGAATAATGCTGATCTCATAAAACCTGGCACTAACAGGTGACTGCTGTGAAGTTATTATACTGGCTTTGAAATGTGTACATGTATTTGGTTAAAGATCCAAGTGTAGCTCTAGAAATTCATGACCTGCCCATGAAAGCAACGACCGAGAATGTCTTCCCTCCTACAACTGTGCTTGGTGTCCGAGAACTTGTAGCATGTTTTACTGTAGGTAAATAACCCATAAGTAATCAAGCACCAAATTAACACTTAGCTGAAATGTTTACGCTGATTTTAAAAATTCTGACATGGGACAGAAAATGTATCCCAGCATACAGTATCACAAATCTAACTATAACAGAAAAAAAGCTTTCTGGTTCCTCCAATCTGGGAAAACAGGGAATCTCAAATGATTTTAGAACTCATATAATGGGGCAAAAAGACAGTTTGACCCAATATATGACATAGCTAAAAATTTCTTGATGTTCTGAAAATCAACAACTTGTTGACAGTCTCACTGTGTCACCCCCAGTAGAGTACTGTGGTGTCACAGCTCACAGCAACCTCAAACTCTTGGGCTCAAGCAATTCTCCTGCCTCAGCCTCCCAAGCTGCTGGGACCAGAGGTGCCTGCAGTTGTCATGGCTGTTGCCCGGGCTGGGTGCGAACCCCCCACCCTTGGTGTATGCTGAATGAGCTACGGGCACCGCCCTGAAGATCAACAACTTTTAATTAAGAAGACAAAGATATTAGTATGTTGAATGCAAGGACCAGGTCATATTGAAATCGTCTCCTTTTATTCCTGACGTATGCCACAAACACAATTTAGGTAGAACTCTGTAGCACAGATTTTTTACCTACTATATCAAGAACTGTGGCGCTAAAATTAAAATAAACTGGAGCTGGACGATCGTCACATACTTAACTCTCCAACACGGTAACCACAAGCAAGTAGAGATGTTTGGCCCCACACCCCCAAGTCTCCAATAACAGCTCACACTATCCACACAGAACTCACAGGATTACATTCTTTAACCCTAAAAGTTTAGAAGGAGGACATTAGAATACCACTTCTAAGTATTAGCAATTATCCTTTATCAAATTTCATTCTAATCAGAAAATTCAGTTATTCCAAAATAAATAGCGATGCTCCTTTTCAAGCCACTTCTTGCCTTCATTTCTTTGAATGCCCACGTTGAGCAATACGAAGGCCAGAGCCAGAAACCAAGAACGGACCCCACAGCCCCCGCAGCCCAGAGGCATTTGATGGTAATCTTCCCCAGGCAACAACTTTCCTCACCCTTTGCAACCCAAACCCATCACACCTGGAAGGCCAATGCAGCTGCTAAATCCCTGGAAGTAACAGAGTTCATGTCCTTAGATGGATTTTCAAAAATCCTGTAGTAACAGCAAGCCGTCGTAGTTTTTACAAAGTCAGGAGATAGACATGTATGTGCAGATACGTGCACACACGCATGTATATACAGATGTTCTTAACCCAGTACCATGTCATTTCTCAAACTTTTTTTTAAAGATTATGTCATGAATAGCCATGATAGGAAGCAGAATTTATCTGAAATCAAAGTGCCTTCCTGGAATGAGGGTAACGTGGTAAACTTCCCACAGTTCCAAACTGTCCGTTGTTTCCTGAGGAACCGCTTAGTATGGGGGTTTTCTGTGCAGGTAATGAAAAGGGACCATGAAGAGCCAGTGAGACCGAGAGGACACACCTAAGTGCTTTCTGTACAACAGAGGCAAGAATATGTGCATTTACTTCATGTAAAATAAGCTTTTGGTGGTGGCTGGGGATGGGACCTGTGGTACCTTGCCCAGACTGTCACTGAGAAACAGCCCAGAGACAAGTGATGGCAGCTTGTGGACCCAGGACTAAGAGGGTTACCACAAGGTTAGGCTGCACTCGGGCACTGAGAGCCCTGGGTGGGTCCTGTTCACCAGCGGCCCTGACTGGGGACTCGACACTTGGCCCTGCTCCTACCTCAGCTCCTCAGAGTTGCACCCTCAGCAGTAGCACCCTTCCCACTTGCCACCCCACTGGACACAGTGCTGGTCCAGGGGAAGGCAGGATACCATAGAGAGTCAGGGAAAGCTCACACCCCTGCCCCACACACCATCCAGACCTCTTCCAGGTCCACAGGAGGCCACAGAGACATGCAAAGCTCTCGTTCTCATCTGGCTGCTCACACTGCGCTCCAGGGCTTGTGCGGTCCAGCTTGGAATGTCCACATCTTTCCTGGGCATGGCTGGGGATGACTTTCATTTGAGCACTCCAGCCAGTGAATACACAAATAGTGGGAGATCACTGTGCCTGCTAAGTGACCAGTGTTGAAAGGGCAGCAGACAGCTTGGTAACTATGCATGGGATTCTGAACATTCAGTTACTTTTTAAAAATGTTACCTAGAACTTGTAAAACCTAAAACACACAGCTCCTCTTAGGACCTTCACAGAATACAAAACAAATGTCTTAAGAACTAGAGAACAATGGTTGAATGAATGTTTATACAGCAACTTGTATTTAATCAAAGGCAACCATATTTTGATTTTTTTTTTTTTAAGGAGTCGTTTCACTATGTTGCCCTGGGTAGAGTGCTGTGGCGTCATAGTTCACAGCAACCTCAAACTCTTGGGCTCAAGCAATTCTCTTGCCTCAGCCTCCTGAGTAGCTGGGACTACAGGTGCCACCACAACACCCGGCTATTTTTAGAGACGAGGTCTTGATCCGGCTCAGGTTGGTCTCAAACCTGTGAGCTTGGGCAGTTCACCCACCTCAGCCTCCCCAAGTGCTAGGATTACAGGCGGGAGCCTCCGCGCCTGGCCCATATTTTGATCTTTTAAGAGTTCAGTTCTTAGACTTACTGTTGTCTCTGAGGAGAAGTGACAAACTGGTTATAACGAAAAACTTGACGAACATCCTGAATACAACACAATGGAGTCACTTAGTAGTTATATCCTTTTTTTTTTTTTTTTTTTGTAGAAATGAGGTCTCACTATGTTGTCTAGACTGGTCTCAAACTCCTGGGCTCAAGTATCTTCCCACTTTTGCCATCCAAAGTGTTGGGATTACAGGTGTAAGCCACCATACCTGGCCTTGGTGGTTTCATTTTAAATTCAGCATAGGAAACAAGAACCTTCAAGTTTACCCACAAAAATCCCTAAAGACACTCTGAGCCTGAGGAGCTGAGAGAGAAACAAATTCACAGCTCCCATGTAACCCTCGTTCCAGGAAGGCAGGCTGGGCAGAGCCACGTGGGAAATTCTCCTTTATATAAAATATTACTTTTCCCTCTCTCAGTTACAATTCTTTTTGTTTGTTTGGTTTGTGCTCCCATGGTTTAACATGATCAAATTAAATGAGATTATACCGTAATGAACTATGAAAATGTGTTAGACAAACAGGCATCACACTTTATACGGCAAGGTCACTGAGGCAGTTAACTATAGTATCTCTCTCTCTAGGTTTTTGTGTACACAGGAAATTAATTGATACCAGAGACCTGTAATTTAGAGATTGAGCTCCTACCACACGAAGGTGCTTGAAGCAAGCTCTGTGTTAGACAAAGCAGGGTGCGGCCTGCGTGGAGGGTCTGCCTTACACACGTGCACACTTTCTTCTACTTCAGAGAGTCCCCAGAGAATAGACAAGAAACTGGCGTCACAGGGACTTGACTCTGGAAGAGGAGCTGGGGGGCACGGGATGGAGGAGGGAGGGTTTCCACCTACGTCGTCAAGTCGCTTCTGGATTTTGTGCTCTCTATATGTATTACCTGATCAAATATAAACTCTTATAATAAAGAATAAAAGCAAATAGGGAATTACCAAATAGCTTAGTGAAGTCTTTATGATTCAACTTTAATTGGCCTAACATAACTATTAGGATGCAAACAATTTGAGTAAAAATGAAAATTTTATCCCCCAGACCTGCTTGCATACTTTGTCTTGACTCGACACACCTGGCAACGATCAGTATGTGACGGTTAGTGTCAAGGAAAGGTTCCTACGGTTGGATGACAAATAGTATAGATCTATAAAATCCTAGTTCCTGTCCCTTCAAAATTCTGCTCCGTCTGAGCGGCCTTTCAGAGTAAGGCCTAAACATTTACCTGGTTGGGAAAAAAGAAGTTGTGACAGGTGCTGTGCAAGCGTCTGAAGGGCTGGGGCTCCCCCGAGGTGGTCCATGTCCAGGAGGGACACAAGAGTCTGGAGACAGACGAGGGCTCGACACTGCACCGTGTGCATCCTGGAAGGGAAGGGAGAGGACGCTGTTCATCTCGGAGTTACCCACAGAGCTCAGCACTGACTTTCACCCTGAGCTTCTGGTTCTGACTGGGGATATCTGTGAACACAAAGGAGTCTATAGCAGTTAGCCGAGGATCACAAGTGAACTGTTTTCTGCCTAACTGAACTGCTTGAGCATTCAAGGCCTCGGATGCACAACTCATTCGTGAGTCACGAGGAATCTGTTTTAGAAAACAATTCTACACAAGAATTGTAGCATCTTTGAAATTATTATTTTTTTTTTCAGAGACACAGTCTTTGTTGCCCATGTTAAGAGTGCCATGGTGTCACAGCTCACAGAAACTTCTAGCTCTTGGACTTAGGTGATTCTCTTGCCTCAGCCTCCCGAGTAGCTGAGACTACAGGCACCCATCACAACACCTGGCTATTTTTTTGTTGCAGTTTGGCCGGGGCTGGGTTTGAACCTGCTATCCTTGGTATATGGGGCCAGCACCCTACTCACTGAGCCACAGGCACCACCCTGAAATTATTTTCGATTGTGAAATAGGACATGTATAAAGTACACAACAGGTATACAGAGTTTACAGTCCATAAAGCAAATGGGCAGACACCTGGATGAGAAATAACCACCACCAGCACCTTCCAGCCCGAGGATCTCTTTCTTACAGTGTTCACTTCCCTGACCCCTAGAGGTTAACCACTGTCTAGCTCAGTGGTTCTCAACCTTCCTAATGCCACGACCCTTTAATACAGTTCCTCACGTTTTGGTAACCCCAAAGGGTCGTGGCTTCAGGAAGGTTGAGAACCACTGATCTAGACTTTTATGGTAAACATTTCCTTTCCTTTTTTTTTTTTGTAATGGGTTTACCGCCCATGTACATATGCCTAAACAACATGGTTTACTGTTGTCTAATTCTGAACCTTGTAAAACCCAAACACAGTGTGTCTGTTCTTTTGTGTCTTGTTTTCTGTGGTTCAGGGTAACTTTCTTGCATGCTATGAAGTCCAGATCCTTTTCATATGTGTTCTACTGCAGGATTATGTCAAACTTCATTTATTCCCTCTAACTCTGATAACTGTCAAGGCTGTTTCCAGGTCAGGCACCTGTGAACCACACTGCCATAAG